CAGCTCAAATGAATAATTGTTAACAATGTTCACGGATCACTTTGGCCCATGCATTTGTGTTTTCATTGATGTACTTACATTAAAGTGTCCCACGTTGCTATCCTTACCCTGCTCTGAATACATTTACGTTAGGACTCAGTTTACTGTAAAAGAAGGATTTATGTCTCTGAGTGTGTTTAGGTTTCTTTTAGTTATGGGTGACGTGTGTCTTGATTTAATATTATAAATGAATGTTAACATGTAGGTGAAAGCTTCATGCCATACGGACACAGAAGCAGAAAAAAATGTCAGAAGAAATACGGAAATAACAAAAATCTATTAAAAATAAATAAATACAACTAGAAACCAGATTAAATAAGACAAAAAAATTAAAAGATTAAAAAAATAAATAAAAATGAAAGAAGTGCAAAAATAAAAAGTAAATAATTAAACAAATAAAATAAATTTAAAAAATGTGAATAAATTTTTTTTCTATTATTACTGCAGTTTATTTAATGCCATAATAATTTCATTATAAAATGCTTCTTTCTGTTATGTTTGTTTATAGTCCCTCTTCCAGATGGTAAAGTACAGAAGTCTGTTTCTGCCACTTAAAGAGCTTTTTTATTATATCAATAAGTCAAAATTGGAATTTATTATCTCCAAATTTCAACTTTCAAACTCCAACTACTGAGAAAAAAACTTAATCAAGTAAAGCTTTGGAGACAAAAGCCCCAATCTCTGATTTATGAATGCCAGCTGAATGAAAACTATTACAACTGTATTAAAAGAAGAAGTTGGTGAATTATGCAAAGAGCAGACACACAAGCTGTAGTACCATATCTTTATTCTCTACCTCTAACCTGTTCGGTTGCAGGTGCAGTGGTTAAACCCTGATTTATTGTTACAGTAATTATAAAGATGATATCAGTGCAGATCGACAGCTTGTAGGTAAGACCGGCCATGGCAGTGTTAGAGAAGCAAAGGGGGCGGGTCTCCGGTTTGACTCTTGTATGTTTTCAGGTAACTCATGTTTACACACTGTAAACTGAAGAATGGCGAGAATGTGATTGGCTGCGTGTTTTTCAGAGGGAGGAGGCCTTCCTGCGAGCTCAGAGGGAGGCTGAGAGGAAGAGGCAGGCGAGAGAGCTGCTGCACATCCAGGAGGAGCAGGAGAGACAGCAGAGGAAGAAGGTACCGAACATCTCCACAGACTAATCACAGACTAGAGCTCAGAAAATTCACCTTTTAAGATGTTTTCTCACGTGGGATCCAGACAGCTTCAGGAGACTCAGATATGACGTAGTTGGCTTCAGACAGTTTTTTATTCTTATGATATGTTTAAATTTGGTTGCTGTTCCCCTGATGTGCTGCCCCCTGTTTTCCCTGTGCTACCAGGCAGGCTTTGAGGCTTAGCGGGGTAACTGAAGGTTTAACCCTGGGGTTTTCAGGGATGTGACGATGATTCACTTTTAAAGCTGCGTATACAATGGCAAGAGATCCACTCGTCACACATAACTTTGAAGCTGCTGGCTGCTTGCAGACATTGGTACACTCACACTCGCTCTGGTCTCTTCAGTCACTCACCTGAACGTTATCGCAGTTCTGCTCACTTCACCTCACCAGCAGTTATTTCGCCCTGAGTCATTTGAAGTTATATTGTTCAGTTTCACTGGGGTACATCACCACGGTAACCTATACCGGAGAACTAGCCCTCCCCAATCAGTTCTCAGGACAGTGGATCATCATTCCTGGAAGAGAAATGATCAAATCTTCATCTCATGAGGCAACGTCATTCCTTTTTTTCCTGTTGGCTGCGATTTTGAAACAACTTCATTCTTCTGTAGGCATTAATACACGATCCCAAAACACAGCAACATTTTGTGGACCTTAAATCAGAGTCTAAGCCTTCGTTTAATTCTGTTTTTATGTTTGCTTGTTCTTCACTTCGTCGCAGAGAAACAACAAAAACTGTCGTCTATGAATTTACTGTAACCTGTCAGACCCTGAAACGACCTTCATTGACTGCTTACAGACGTCAGATTAAATGAAGCCATACAAGGAAAATTATCCTGGACGTGCTGAACGGAGCTCCGGCTCTTTGTTTATTCTTGGATTTCTATTTGTTCCCTTTTTGCACTGTTTTCAGACACTTTTACGAGCAGATGGATTATCATGACGCAACATGAACTCGAAAAGTTTGATGTGTTCGTCTTTTATTTCTCTCTGTTAACACCAGCCGTGTGTCTGCTTCTGCAGAGAATTGAGGAGATTATGAAAAGAACAAGGAAGAGTGAAGTGGAGCCTCCATCTGCTGCTCCAGGTAAATGGATGTAACACACACACACACACACACACACACTACAAAACTAATGACTTAATTTTCCACGCCAGTGCAGTTCAGAGTCCTTTTCCCTGTCGTCCTTTTCTCATTGGATGGGAAGCGTTTTTGAAAATCTAATTTCTGCACCACGATCAGGCCTCTCTGTGAAATTGGATGTGATAACTGGCAGCTGCAGTGTGACTCAGCAGTGTTACACAGGTGGGGGAACAGCACCTCCTGATGGGCGGAGGTGGGATAAATAGCCAACGCTGAGGGGTAAAACTGCAGCGCTCGCTGAACTCTCTGAACTCTCTGACCTGAACGGACTCGCGTGCCGACGCCTTCATCAGCACAGCTGAAGTGAATCACTCTGTAATCACCGCAGCTTTACACTGAAGCAGAAAGATTATGATATAAAACATTTATAAGGAACATTGTTACACTCCTTTCACTGGCCTCGCCGGCAGGGAGTTCCACCTGGTTTTATGAACATCTTTTAAATACTTTAAACGTAACCGGTGGTTCTGAACTGAAGGAGAAACTATTAAATGTATCAGGAAATGTTTGAGTAGAGGAAGCTGAACACCAAAGCATTCAGGGTGCCTGGTTTTTATTCTCCCCCACGCATCATTATGTGTTTGCACTAACAGTTGACCGAGGGTGTAAAACTGCTTTTTTAACAGGAATGATTTTGTTTGTTTATTTGATATTTTTAACCATGCACAGAAATATCGAAGTCATAAGAAACTACAGTGTCTTGTACTAGATTTAGCTGCTGGCTCATTTCTATCTGCAGTCACTGGGGAGGGAGGACGCAGAGCGCTGTGGCTCATGCCTAAAACAAAACCTGTAATAAAATCACAAATATCCAGGAAGCCTCGGCTCAGCTCGTTGTGTTCGAGGGCCGGCGGGCTGTGAGGTTTGCAGTGAAGTTTAATTAATGAAGCCTTTGTTGATCATAGTTTCAGGAACGCTGTTGGCTTGAGGTGGTTAAACCTCCTACTTAGTGGTTAAAGCCGCTCCCTGCAAATAATTATGAAGCAAGATAATCACCCTGAATAAGGTAATGTGATCATGACGTGCATTTACATGCATCCAGCGTCTGAACAGAGTAAATCATTTCTGACATGCACAGAATTGTCGAGTTTTCTGGAAAAGTAGGAGTTGTGATTTGGATCTCTGGATTTCTGCTTTCATCCTCACCTTGCTGTGATTTCTCACATTTCTGACTTTGTCGTATTTCGTCTTCCAATGGACCTACCTCACTGACGTCATCGTTTGATGTAACAGACGTGCAGTTTGGATAGTTTCACCCCGAAAATCAAAAGAAGTGTTTAAGTGGACATCAATTAATGATCAGTGTAACTCGATCGGAAAGAGATTTTTATCCACAGTAACGTGATCGGATCAGAATCTGGTGTGTTTACATGAAGCATTTTTATTCCAGTCAGACTTTTAATCCGGTTACTTGTGTCATTGTTTGAAGAGTCTATATGTTAACGTCTGATGAATATTTCTGTCTGAAGTTTGGTCTTGAATTTTTGAAAATGTGGAAATAAAGAGATCCTTTGAAAGTCTGCAAATTGAGACAGTTTCCTCCTTTTAAGAAGCGTAAACGATGTATTTGGGAAACCTTAAGCCTTGGTGGAGGTTGGGAGTCTCCACTGTTTCATCCGGATGCTTGTCACCACTGATAGAGGTGGAACATCTGGAAAATTACTGCAACTATAAAGCATTTCTCAGGATTCATTTTCAGGAAGTGATGCTGAACTGTGATATCCGAGGCCGGGATCAAACCTTTAGCACCTCTTTTATAACCTCGAGTAAAGACTTCCTGTGTATGTTGGCAGCAATCGAGGTGCGAGGTGAAGCTGCTGTCGCCCTGGAGGAGGACGCCGCGACTCCCGCTGAAGCCCCCGTCATCATGCTGGGACCCCTGGAGAAGAGCAGTGTGGACGAGCTGTCAGATGGGGTCCAGTCCATGGACGTGAGGTAGGTCTCCCCAAAGCGTGACCTGTTCCTTCCTCCTCATCTCATTTAGTCAGCTGTCTGCATCTCAAAGGTTTCTGACACCCCAACAACTGCGAACGCTTACAACTCAAAACCACGAACCAGAGGAAAAAACAGGACTCAAGTGCTGGGATTTAAAACGTGGGAGCAGAAGACATCATAATGCTTTAGTTTGGCAGTATGTCATAATATTTTATATTAACTAAAATTCTTTTCTTTGCCTGGCAGAAGCCAGCGTTCACTCAATTTAGTGTCAGGTCAGCTCTCATTCAGCACTCTGTGGTTGAGAGCGAGCCACTGGAGTTTTTTTTAATCCCTTTTCATTACAACCTAAGCAATCATAAACCGTCTATAGCTCACATTACCTCTGATGTGCAGCAAGGGTCAGTCTTAGGTCCTATTTTATTTCCTATTAGCAGGCTTCCCCCAGGCCTCTACATTTATCCAGAACAGTCACGTGTCTTTACGCAGCTACACAGAAAACACAGACAAAATCGATTGATCTAAATCACATCAACTACTTTGATCATTGCTGCGGCTCTCTTCCCAAATTTGATATTTATGTGTGAATATCTATGGTTCAGTAAGACTAGAAGGGCTCTGCAAAAATCCTAAAATGTATTTAAAAGGAAAAACATAAAAATTTCCTAAAGCCAAGCTGATCAGCTGACCATTACTCTTTGATCTCTGAATAGCTAATCTGAGCTGCTGTGACATTACAACAAGGTGTTGTTTAGCCCTGCTGATCACCTTTTCATTTACTCTGTAATCCATTCATCGTCTTCTCATCTCACGTCTGGTTAAAGGCTTCATTCTTCATGTCCACAGCCGAGCCTGATGTTTGTGAGATCAAATACTGCTCATTAAATACTGACGCTGCCCGTCGAGACGCTCTAATAAACTAAATGTTGTGTCTCTGTCATCGTTGTTCCTTTAAGCTCTCCATCTGTCTCCATCAGTCCAGTGTCCAGGGATGAGCCAGCGAGCGCCCACGAGTTCTCGCCGGTCACCGAGGGAACAGACGGCTGCCCGCTGGGGCACCTGATGGACGATGACGCCCCGGGGCGAGGGCAGCAGCAGGCTGCAGAGGTGCAGCCTTACCCCAAAATGCAGGCTGGAAGCGGGGTCGGAGACCTCAACAAGAACCTGCTGATTCACGGCTACAGCGCCGCCTCCGAGTCGTCCCAGCTCATCCACAGCGTCGGCCCGAGCAAGCTGGACATCCAGTAGCCAGGTAACACAGACCCCCCGACATATGGCCCTTTCACTTCTCTCTGTCTGTCTTCACTGCTCTACTCCATCCAGTAAAAAGGCAAATACTCAGTTTTAGACGATATGATGCCATAGAGAGGATTATTTCTACTATAGTCATCCCAGGTTAAGAAGCCACCTGCTTACGAGGAGCAGCCAATCAGAAGATATGAAGGCTAATACAGAGGCCTGTAAACATCTGGACCGTGCACACAAGTGCTGTTATATTTAGAAGTCATCCATTCATGACATAAACACAACATGTTTTTTATACAAATACAAAATAATTATTTAGTGCTGTAAAGTGGTTCTAGTTGACTTTGAGCCTTCAGGCTCCTCCCTGCATGCTGCAGGTGTCTCTGCTAAACAGACAGAGAGGATGGCTGCTGTCAGCCTGCAGCAAAGTTTACAAGGAATCTGACAAATGTAAAAATATGACAGATTAAACCAGCAGTTTATCTGCAGACAAACAGCTTCAGTTTTTGTTCTTAAAAACAGTTTTGTCTCTGTTGTAAGACGAACAGGTGGTGGATGAGACTGACATTTAAATCTGTTGATTAGACGTTTTAATAAAGGTCTCTTACACACTTTTTATGCAATTGTGATAACAGTACAGGAAAAAGGACTGTACGAAAAGCACCATGATATGAGTGATCACACTTCTGTTATGTAATCAAACTTTTGAGCTAAGAAGACACTGCAGGACCTGAATCTCATGCTTGTAAATACAGTGAAACACATCATTGTCCTGCCTGCTTTCTTCTGTATGAAAATAACATGCATTTGTTTTAAAGTGTTGGGTTTAATATGTGCTTGTTGGTTATGTTGAACCCAAAACTTTACTTACGGACAGGGAAAAACAATATAAATATAAATATAAATATAAATATAAATATAAATATAAATATAAATATAAATATAAATATAAATATAAATATAAATATAAATATAAATATAAATACATAAAGTATTTATGTATTTATATTTAGTATTTGCCATACTGAAGTTCTTAAATGTCTCTTATCTCTCTTTTAGGACCTTTTTCAGGAGGCCGGCAGCTAAAAACAGGAGCCAGGAGAAACAGACCAGGAGACCAGAACAACAGTCATCATCTCCACAGGAAACGACTGCTGAACACCTGATTTCTCATCTGTGTTACCAAACCACACACACGCATCACTGTTAAGCTTCTGGCCACATTTTAGGGCAGTGCAGGTGGGCAATTACAGCTCTGAGAAACACAACACAGTTTGACCTAATCATGCAGGTAATGTGATATATTTATATATATGTGAATATTATGTTACAGAGTGAAGTTTAGGTCACAGTTTATTCGTCTAAAACCCAAATAAATTCAAACTTTGTGCTGTAAAACTTGGAGCTACTTCCCCTCCACGCCTGAATCCAGTATTTCCCAGCTGCACTGCCGCCAAACATAACTCGCCCGCTTTAATCTGTCATCTCTGCTCTTGAAACCGTTGTAAATAGATGTTTGAGGCGGTCACGGTGGGGACAGGAAGCGGCTCTGTAGCAGATGATCTGGAGGAGAGCCGTGAGACTGATGCTGTTGTGTGAATCTGTGTGTAGCATCCTCAGCTTGCCGAGCTGTTTTATGGCCGTGGTTGTGGGTTCCCGTGTGTTTATCCCACCTCTGACCTGCTCTGCTGTAGATTTCCTTCCATCCTGACGCAGGAGGAACCATCAGAAACTGAAACGATGAACCCGCTGTCGACCCGTAGCCTTTAGCTGTTGTTTCTCTGCCGCTCATCACTGGACCGATGGACCGATTTGAGGACTAGCAACAATCAAACACGAGGAAAAAATGCGACCCTTCTGGGGGGAAAATGCTACATGTCTTGTAATTTAATGTGCGTGCGGGGGGATATTGAGACAGCGTGTTGTGTATTTGTCTGGCACTGACTGTAACCACGCAAGCTGCAGTTTATAGTGTGCACTTACAGTAGTTGTATGTTTGTTACACCGCTCTGAAGACGCTTAAATCTCCAGCCCATGTCCCCGAGTCAAATATACCTCACCGATTCAGAACAGCTTTCACCACCTCGCAGCTCATCACCTCTGAGGCCTTAAACCTCTGTGCAGTCAGCATCCTCCCCGTCACCCTCAGGCACGCCCACTTTCAGCTGATTTTAAAGGCCTGTTTCCACAAGGAGGACGAGAACCACAAACACTCCCTGAGGAGGCGTTTTTGCCCTTTAGCTCACACACAGCAGGAGATAACCTGAAAGTAAAGGTTAGCCACTGTCCAGAAATGTTAGTGTTCATATCAACAGGTAAAAACCTCAATAACCAAACTCATATTTATGGACATTTTAAGGAATTTGAGCTACAGAAAAGCTTTAGCCTTTAAGTCATGGTAATCGCTTTCTTTCCAAGTTCCTTAAATCTTTATTGTTAATTTTTATTTATTGTTGATTTAATGTATGTATGTATTTATTTATTTATTGATTTATTTATGGTTTAGGTTTTTAGGTCCTTAGAGAAGATACTGGTGTAATCTTCAGTACCATTTATTACAACATAGATCGTCTTTATACAAAAACAAACCACCTAAACTTCCAGAAGTGTTGCAGAAGACGCATCCTTGGTGTCATGAACAGTTGTACATTTCTTTTGTTTTTTTACTGGATGAATAAGATCATTTATTATTTTGGCATGCACTGCAGTGTAAGCCTGTGCAGACACACTACAGAGGTGGTGGTTTGGTTTCTTGCTGTGGGAACCGAGGCCTCTTCTGCTTCTCCAAAGCACCACACAGAGGGGAGGAAAGCATTTCCCCGTCACCCCAACGACCTCCAGCGCATTGATTTTTATCATCAGCTTCCCTCCCTCCACGTTTGCTCACTGCTCCTCCAGATTGTGCTGAAACGCGTCGTCAGAGGGTCCCCCGGGTCCCCTTGTGTATGAAGTAGACATAAAGGATATAATGTTTATTCTAATCTTACTTAAACTCTGTGACACTGCAGCTTGGTGGAATATATCATTGTAAATGTGGTGCATGGAAAACTGCTGAAAACGAACAATAAACTTCATCAAGCCATTCGTGTCAGTGAGCCGGATAAATAAACTAGTGAATGGAAAACTGAATCATTAAGGAAGTAAGGGACATGTTTGAGATGTTTAGTCTTTGACCTTCATATGAAAACGATCTAGTGTAGGGCTTAACGCAGACGCTTTTCTTTATCATTATATCTCACTGTGTGTTGACTTGATGCTGCACTGAAATTAAAAATCACCTGCAAAAACTGGATGGATTATCTCTTTTTGATTTTGTTCCTGACCCCAGAATCAGCTTCTGCATTATTTAACCTCCTAAGACCCGAGCTCTTTCATAGCATGCATTTTTATTTTCTCTTTGCTCTTTGGGCTGATTGGGACCTGATGAATGTAAAATAATTTTTTTCTTTTTTACCTGATTTTTGTTTCCGAGAAAAATGAGATCCACATACGAGGACATTCGCTTTAAGTTTCGATACAACAGTGGCAGTGTCCTTGTAAGTGGATATCAGGCCCTTGTTAAGCAAAATTTAGTATTTTGGTTTGACAACCCAAAACGTCATGTCCACATATGTGGACACCAGATCGTAGGAGGTTAAAACAGATTCAAACTTCCTGTTGGGGTTTTCAGCCTTCAGCATGAAAATGATTTTGATGGAGATTTTTAAACCACTGACTTCTGGATTATAGCAGCATCAGAACCACAAAAACTATCAAATCTGCAAAGCTTTTAACTAAAGGGAAAGGTTAATGATTTTCATTATTGCCAGCTGCGGCCTCAAGGCTGGAGCTGAACAAAACACCCTGACAACAACTGTGTTTAGACTGTTCCCCCCATTCCATGCAAGGCCACCTGGGTTGGCTGGAGGACTGTTTACTTAGCCTGGCGGGCGAAGGACACTGTCTCAGCTGAACTCTGGACACACACACACACACACACTGATCCCCCCTCCCTTCGACGCTTGTGCCATTTCCTTCTGATTCTGATTCTGATTTAATTGGCACACAATCTTCATCTATTAGCTGCTCCTTTTGGGGTCACACAACCCATCAATACATCCATGAATCCTCTCTGTGGTCATCCTCTTTTCCTCCTGCCTGGCAGTTCCAGCTATCCACTATCTTCACTCTCCATCCTCTGCACATGTTCAAACCTTTTCAGCCTCGTCTCTCTGACTTTGTCTCCGGCCTGAGCTGTCCCTCTGAAAAATCGTAACATCTCCAGGTTGGCCTCCCCCACTTCGTCTCCAAGCCAAACATCACAGCAGGTCTCACCACCATCCTAAACCTTTCCATCCACTCTTGCTGCTATGATTCTGTCACAAATCACCCCTGAAACTCGTCTCCAGCCACTCCACCTTGCCCGCACTCTCTTCTTCACCCATCTTGTGCACTGTTAGCTGCTTTGGATGGTTCTGTGCTCAATTTTCTATTCTGACTTCCGCCTGCTCCCTTCTCTTACAACATCATCTGCAAACATCATATTCTGCAGAGATTCCTGCCTGACCTCATCGTTTTGATATATAATCCGTTTCATTTGTCTGTTGTTAGGAATCTAAAGTTTGTGTGAAGGTAGGTACCAAAACAGCTCGAAGGGATTTAGTTTGGATGAAAATCGGGTCACGGTCACGGCAAATATGAAAATCAGTAACAACCTTTTATTACCCACAGTTTTCTATTGATCAGTTCACAACAACATGGTAGGCTTTGGTGGACATGAGTACCCAGGTTGGCGAAACTTTTGACCTTGTCCTTCATTGTAAAAACCTGAATCAAAGTTAACCTTGAAAAAAAAAATCGATATCATATGAAAAGGGCATAAAGAGAGCTGTACAAAACTATACAAAAACACCCCAGAGCATCACAATGATGCCATAATGTCACTGTATTGGATTAAAAAGATCACAGAACATCAAAGTTTAGTATAGCCCTTGCCCTTTGAGATTTGCGCTCTCTGAGTACGTTTGTGTTTGAGAATCTGCCACAACTAAAACACAGACTAAAGAGGGAATGGAAAACATTCCCCTCATAAAAGTCCAGCAGCCAGTCTGCTCCCTTCACATACAACATACAAAATAAATGCAATAAAGTAAAATAAGTATAACTTTTAATACAAAATTAGATAACAAAATTACATAACATAACAAAAATATTAATTTCAACAAAGCTATTGGTTTTTTTTTAGTCTTTTGATATTTTGTTTTATTTTCCTAAACTACAAGAAACGATTTATTTAAACTATTATTTCTTCATTTTAATTTGATTTTTAATTACAATAATAAAATATTCCAGGTAATATAAATAAATAAATAAATAAATAAATAAATAAATAAATAAAGTATCTCTATCGTAAATATGGTAAAATAGTTCTCATTAAAGTTGAAACTGTAACGGTGTGGCTGATATTTAGCACATATTTTTAAGAGGCTTTAAGCCATCTTATTTTGAAAGGCCCGTGGCGGAAGTGTTGAGCTCAGGTTTTTTTTGGCGGATCTTTGGGAGCAAATGTCCACACAGTCTCTTTATTTACAGTGTTTAACGGAAAGAGTAGCACGCAGCTGGCGTTTGGTTAAATTTAGCGACAGATAGGATTGTAATCTCGGTTTGTAATCTGTTATTTGGTCGTATTTTGGTGCGTTTATCCTTGTTTTTTTAGCTAGCGTTGTTAGCCGATCGTTGGCCTGTCGCGCGTCGCGGTCAAAGGTAAGAGAACTGCGTAGCATTAGCTGCTAACCAGCGTTATCCTTGTTTAGTTTAGGAAACATGTGTGATGACATGCAAGACGCTGTTTTTGATGCTCTTTAAAGCAAAAAGCTCCTCATACGGAAACAGAGCTGTGGTTTGTGTAACATTAAAGAAGAAGGGGCGTTGTTCGATCTATCGGCGTGCCCCTTAAAGCACCGCTAACCCTGATGTTCCCGGTGATCAGTGAGTTAACTGTCTTAGTTTGTAGAAAATATTCAGGTTGGTGTCATGTGAGACCTGCAGGCATTTATCCAGTCTGAAAACCTACATTACAGATGGTTTGGATGAGTAATCGATTAATGCAGTGGATACTGGTTAACTTTATTTTTGATGGGAGTAGTTAGTGCATGATTATAATATTTATAATGGGAGCCCTACTAATGTTAACTTAAGCTTGTTTAGCTTATGCAGAGTAACGTTAAAAGATTCTTATTTTTATATAGCTGTGGTAGCAGTTAGACTTTTAATAACTTTGTCAAATCTATTTTGCTGAGCTAGTGTTTCCTGAGTTACACGATTTTAAAATAGTTTGGCTCATATTTGTATATTAGAAACAGAGTATACATACTATGGTGGAAAATGTCAGGTGTCGGCCCACCTCTGTCCAGTTGTTCTACACCAGTGCGATGTTTTTGCTGAACCTTATTAGGTTGTTGTAAGCGTATGTGTCCATTATTTTAATAACCACGTTTCTTTGAACTTTTTGAAATCATGCCTGCAGTGAAGTTTAAGCCCTGTTCAAGCTTTCTTGCAGAAACGAATGTTGAAAGGCTGAGTTTTGTCCTCTGCACCTGCTGCAGAGTTGACTGTAAAATTGGGTGTTGTCCCGGCACTCTTGATGTTGTAATAAAATGCTGTTCTTTCCTTTAAGGTTGACAAAATGTCAATACCACGGTCTCGATCACCACATTACAGGTAAATACGCTGCACTAACTGTGCTTTTATTATACAGCCATTCTAGCGTGTGACTGTAGTGTTTGGTTACTTGGGGAATATTTTATATCGTCTGGTGTTCCCACGGGGTCATTTTTAGGACCACTGCTGTTTAACTTGAGAGGCACAGTTATGTTTACCTGTCTCCACCCCTGTGTACGCACAAGACAAACTGATGCTATCACTGGTGCTGAAGCTGAGAGTCTGGAAATTTCAGTTGCTGACCTTATTTTTCAAAATCGGCTCTAACTGTGCTGTTGTTCTGTTTTCTATCATCTAAAAGTATTGAAAAAGTTTGGAGTTTTCTGTTGCATAAGGTCAATGGAAATCTGGCCTGTACTTTTTTTCCACTTGACTGTGTGGAGATACAGAAATCATTTTACTGCTACAGTATATCCTTTATCATTAACATTGCATTGAACTGTTTATTGAAGCTACTGGCATCATATTAACCTTTTTAGTACAGGTGCAGCTATAATCATTGTATACACATTTTATGTTGTGCTCGTGAAGAATTGATGCTCAGTCTATTTAAGCTTTCAAGCTTTGTGAGCGCGATGTCTTCACAATCTATTGTGTAAGTGACTTGGAGCAACAGAAGGTTAAAACAGCATTCACGCTTACAGACACATATAATATAAACATAGGCCAGGCCGAAGGCCAGGAATTCATTTAGCTTCTAACTGCGTTTGAGCTTGACAGGTAACAAGTGACAGAAGACAGGTCAAGAAAAGGACAAGCTCACAGGGACCATCTGGGCCTGAAACTAATTGCCATATATGGAAGGTGTGATAGAAAGAGGAACGTCTTTGTCTGTTTTTTAGATATTTAAGATCTCTAAAATTGTTGCATTCGATGTTCATTTGACGCATGAAGGTGCGTTAACCCTGACATTATAAAAGTATTCTCAAGCGTATTCTTAGAGGCAGATCTATGCTGATGTGTTGCAGTGTACATCTTCCCAGGCGTGTGCTCAATAAATCATCGTTTGACTGAATTCTTCTGGGCCAGTGTTGGTTTTGTTCCTTGCCTCAATATTTCAAATCGGGACAACTGCAATGCTCTGTTCACGGGAACATTGCAAAGCACCGTAACCAACTTTATCTGGCAGAGTTCTTAGCAAAAAGAAATCTGACCATGTCACAGCTGCACTGAGGTCATTATTTTGGCTTCCAATTAGCCTTAAAGTTGGTTTTAAAATTTGAAAAGTTGATTTTAATGTCCTGTATGGTGTGAAACCTTAATATTTCTCAGACAGTTTTATATTTTATAGTTTAAATAGTTCTGACACGCTATCATCTGTTATTGGGTGTACTCCAACACAGCTCAACTCACAAGTGTTCAATTTCTACTAATTGTATTGATTTTAAGTTACTGTTCTTGTCATTTTTACTGGTATATTGTTGTTTTTCATTACATCATTACATTTTTAGAAATGAATCAGGTTTTTTAAAACTGGTAATTGCAGTCCTTATTGTTTTGAATATATAGTGGAACCCCGACTTATGAAATTAATTTGTTCCAGAGGGTCTTTCGTAAGTCAAAATTTCCATCGCCTTTTGAGTGAGGCGATGCTGGCTGAAGATGAAGTTCTTGGTGGAGGAGGAGGTGGCGGCGGAGGTTGAAGAAAGCATACGTATGCATGCATACATACGTATGTGTACATGTACATAACATTATGGGATTTATTTAAAAAATTTATTTCATTTCATCTATTTCGTTACGGGGCATTTTGCCGTACCACGGGCAGAAATATTGCCTTTAAGTCTTGAATTTTTCGTTAACTTGTTTTTGTTAAATTCGTAAGCTGGGGTTCCACTGTATAGGTTTGCAGCATAACAAATTACAAAGAGGATAAGATAGAAGAATTATTTTCTAGATGCTGATGCATTAATTCCGGTGCTATTTGTTTCTAAAATGATATATATATATATATATATATATTTTTTTTCTATGTTCACTTTTTCAGGAGGTTGCCATTGGAGGAACCTGGCTTTGATCCACACAGACCAAGTGGAGATCTGGATGGGATTTCTCTGGACAGAAGGGAACGCTTTCGGAAAGGTTCTGAAGAAATCAGGGAGAACTTCAGTGAAGACATGTATCCAGAAGGGCAGAGAAGAGCCCCTCCATTCACAGATGACCATCGATTTGAACGTCAGCCTTACAAAGACCGGGAGGAGTTTCACCACAGGAGGTTATCACCCCGCCATGATGTACGCTATGAAGAATGGAGGTTTCCCCCAGTGAGAGATGGAGGATTTGATGGAGATAGGAGAAGAGAAGGCTTTAGAGAGGAATTCCAGAATTTTGAACACAGGAGTCGGTCGCCTCCGAAGTTCACGAGGGAAAGGTTGCCACCGACACCGAGGTCTAATTCCGACCAGAGGGATTCGGGGATGGGCTGGAAGAGAGAGGAGCAGGTCAGGGATCGGTGGAGGTTCACAGACCTCAGTCCCAGTTTGAGGGCTGACGACCAAAGAGTTGGAGGAGATGGGGAAAGAGGGAGGAGATTCACTCAAGGTCCTAATAGAGGCAGACAAAGGGAAAACCCACATCATGAGAGGGGCCTCCCTTTTAAAAGACAACGAAGAGAAATGGATGACGTCAATCATCCTGGGTAAATTTTAAGCAAAATGCTTTGCAGCACTATCGGGAAATGAAGAACGTAGAAGATTCCTATCTTCTAATTTTCTGTAGCGCAAATTTCCTCACTGTTCATCTTCATGCCTTAATTTCACTAATGCACTACTCTAGTGTTAAATATTGCATGGCTTATAGTTTCTTACCTTCTTTCTGAGAAATGTAAAGTTCTTTTTGTCTTATTTTGACCTCTTTTCATTATTTGTGTTATCAGTGATAATACATTAATGATTACATATTGATTCATTTAGGTTTGATTATTTCCAGTCTGAATTTAAAAGTGAAGATGTTGAACCGCCTCCTCTTATGCCACCACAGGTCCAGGAATGAGAAGGACTTTGGGGAAAAGGGTTACTCAATGGAAGGAAGCAGACATGAGTTTGGTGAAGACACTCGGGGAAACCTCCCCCACGGAGACGGTCGGTACTCGGGCCCACTTGTCATTGAACACGATCATGGCATCCGAGACAATAGAAAGCTGCCACGATGGGAAAGGTTTGATGACCACAGGGATCTCAAGCCTGAGTTTGATCGACAGAGGAAGCCCCGTCCAGGGGGCTCCTCTGAGGAGCTTTTTAGGAAGACAGAAACCAGGTTGGATGATCAGGAAGATCCACGAGAACACCGTTATCAAGGTAATTCGGGGGAATCAAACTATTATGAAACTAGGAGAAGCCCTGTGCTTCAGGACAGGTCAAATGCAGCAAGATATGGTGTTCAAGGTGGCCCCATGAATCACAGGGGGAGAGGTGCCACTCAACCAGCAAGAAGGAGGTACAACCCAAATCAAAGCGGACGGCCAGGACAACCAAGAAATCACCCACGCTTACAGCAGGCCTCCCAGGGATACCAAGATCTTCCTCGCGAAGAGCAGAGACAAGGGTTCCACTCCGTTAGGGAAGATTATGACGACGACACTGAAGATGAGCCCAACTGGGCAGAAAAAGACAAACTTCAACAGTGGGACCAGGAAAGGCCTAGAAGTCTGGAACGGCCCCCAGGGAGGGATTTGGACCCTAAAATGCCCCATTTGAGGCAGCAGGGATGGAGCAATCAGAAAGCCAAAAATATGACGGTTTTAACAGAGGAAACGCTAACCATCAAGGTGGACATGAGTCGGCCCATAAACCAGAACAGGTAGAGTATTTTCTTTATCTTATCAAGGGTGAGGGGTGAAAGTTCACACTTTCTTTTCATGATCTTGTGAAGAAGAAAAAAAACCTATGAAGCTGCCACATGGAGTTTGAAGACTGGCATTGAAAAAAGCACAAATAATTTCACGTCATCTGATATTAAAATTGATTTTGGATGAAATTGATTTGAATACTGGCAGATTCAGAACCAGTACTGGAAATGTGTTCCCTTATGGGGAATTAAAGGGACCTACCCAATCATATGTGCCGTTACCTCATACGGCTGGGATGCTTCATAGAAGTTTCTCCAAGGAGTCCATGTTCATTTAAAGTGGAAGTCACTCTCATGAATACTTGTGGACTGCAGGACACCTCAAGGAAAACAAAAGGAACTTCCACCTCCATGATGTTAGTCCCGAACCGAATATGGCCTTTATTTTAGGAAGCATGGTGCTGATGTGGAGTCTTCATTTGTGCTTTTCAGAATTCACCTGGAAGAAAATTTGCAACAAACTTGTTTCATTGAATTCAAGTTCCAGTCGCACAAATAAAGGAGTCAATTTTGCCCTTGATTTATTTTTTTTAATGCGTTGAGTTAAATTGTGTAGATGAATCCAAAGGACCTGTTATTTGGTAATGAAGATGACTGAATCCTAATTGATCCCTTTTGAGGATGGAAAGGTGCAATTTCTACCCCCAACTCTGGATGATGTTTGATTTGAAACTGCTTTAAGAGGCATATTTACCTTACATCTACAACATTGTTGGTTTTTACTGATTGATGGACTTTGAAAGCTGAATGTGGGATACAAGACACAGTACTGACAGGATTTGATCAGCAGATGCAACTCCTGTGGGCGCTGGCAATCACACGTTTTTCAGGAGGATCTCAGACCGTCTGAGTCTAAAGAAGAGTTTGCTACTGAAACCTACATTGAACCATGTTTTCTAAAATCAAAGAAAGAGTGATGTGCACCCTCCAAACACCACCTCTCACTCCGTCATCACTTGGTAATTTGGTGTCTTTGGTGTGCTGATAACATAAAGAGAGTTTTTGCTTCTGCTTTCTTTTGGAGCTGCTTGGAAATGAAAAATGATCCTCAGTGAATTTAGGATTTGCCTCGTATGTGCATTTAAGGACACAGTCAGTGACATCTGGACTAATGCTGTTGCTACTGGAAGAGGAAATATCTGTTCTTTCTCTTGTTTTGAAAGGGAAGTTGAGCAAAGCTGGCAGTAACTGATGGTACTACTAAAAATAAACATGGAAACTGATATGCACTGTGATAAACCACACACCTTGTTGTCTGAATGCCAGAGAGGAAGTTCACTACAGCAAGCAAAAGAAGAAGATGATGATCTGAAGGCTCTGCCATGGAGAAAATGTTGGGAAGCTATAAAATGAGACATTTTGCAGGAAGATGAGAAGACTTGGCAGCCATTGTTGGGCCACATACCAGAGATGACATTTAGAAATCAATGAGGAACCTGTGTGCACCAATCAGTTATGGGAAGAAGGAGAGACAGTGAATGGAGTCCTGCTCAGAAAGTGCATGCTGTGAGTGAGTTTTGGCCATTTCATGTTTGTGTGTGTACAATCTTATTGGAGAGCGTGCCGAGGATCCAGATGCAAGGAATCGTCCAAGTAAAGGCAGGCACAAGCAAGTCCGTGTTTTGTGCAGCGAGCCACTGGAGTCTGATAGATCATGAAAAGAGTTCAACTTCACGGCCTAAACATTAGTTACAGGCTTTTTGAGGAGGAGACTAATGACGTGAATATCATCAACCAGCTAAAATAAAGGATTCATCATCATCATCATCATCACAGAAGATAACTGGGGAAAATGCATCCTCATTAACGCTTTGAAAAGATGGCGACGAAGCTATAAACCTGAATAAATTAGGAGCTGGAGCATTTCAAAGCAGCAAACATAAAAGGATGATTTATTCTGAAGAAAACTGAAGTGAAATAGTCCTTAGTTTAAGAAGAGAAAATAAATCCAGGAACACAATCTTCAGTGGTGACAGCAGAGAATTATAGGCCTTGTCAATGGTTTCAGAAGAAGACACCAGTAATCACTATTGTTGAAAGGAAAAATGGACTCCATATACAGAAAGATCACTAATCTGGATAACTGGAAACCTTCAATCACATCTGTTACCAAGAGGTTAATCAGCATCATCCTTCGACAGTGCTTTGAAAAGGAAGCTTCTAAAAGAAGTAATCGTCAGGAGGAGGATACGAATTTAAAGATTGTGTACAATCGGACATTTCTGTGTCGTTCCTCTTGAACCGTGACAGGACTGGAGAATCCAGCAGACAAG